AGGGTTTGGGGTGCGGCCAGTCCTAACGTCACTTTCGGAACCAAAAAAATCTATCCATCAAGACAGCAGCTGCCAGGAATTGGGCGCTGCCCCTAGCTCCGGGGTGCTATCCTGACCCTAACTCCGGGGTGCTATCCTGACATGGCTCCTGCTCCTAGCCCGTGGGCTCTGGCTGCTATCCTGACCTGGATGGCTCCTGCTCCTAGCCCGTGGGCTCTGGCTGCTATCCTGACCTGGCGCAGGGTTTGAGGTTGGGACGTGGCCTCTAGCCCTGACCTAGGCTCTGGCAGCTCTCCTGTGACATGGTTCCTGCTGACCAGTATTTTGGGGGTGGCGCAGGGTTTGGGGTGCGGCCAGTCCTAACGTCACTTTCGGAACCCAAAAAAATCTATTTTATTAAGAGAGCAGCTGCCAGGAATTGGGCGCTGCCCCTAGCTCCGGGGTGCTATCCTGACCCTAACTCCGGGGTGCTATCCTGACATGGCCCCTGCTACTAGCCCGTGGGCTCTGGCTGCTATCCTGACCTGGCGCAGGGTTTTGGGGGTGGCGCAGGGTTTGGGGTGCGGTCAAGCTGTGGGGTGCTATCCTGACATGGTTCCTGCTGCTAGCCCGTGGGCTCTGGCTGCGATCCTGACCTGGCGCAGGGTTTGAGGTTGTAGCGCAAGCATAGCGCAAGCATACCTCCTCTGACGCGCTCCCCTGCTTCGGCAGGGGTCGGCGGATTATTATGCGAAGAGCCACGAAAAGGGCAGATGTCACAACAAATTGGGGCTACCCTCCAGAATGTTGCAGCTGTTCTTGAGGGATGACTCATGACCCAGAAAAAGCACCCTCATAGAGAAAGAAGGATCACCGTTCGGACAAGGACGGTGGTCGCGAGCGAACATGCGGCGTCCCCAAACCGTCGAAACGGCCGCGGAACTTCCGGTCCCGCCCGTCTGGAGTTTTTTGGATCGCCGAAGAATGGGAGCTGAACGGGGGCAACGGCGCTCGGTCTATGACCATGAGATTGATGTACCGAAACGAACTGAGAAACTGCAGCAGACCCTGCGGACATCTGCATGCCCTTGTTTCAAGAAAGGGATTTGGCGTTTGCTTGCGGAACATCCTTTGAAGCAATGTTCATACATGAGGTGAACTACTCGATGTCTACTGCTTTAGGTCTTCCTGTCTTCAGAACGAACTCAAAGGACCGGTACCGGTGCAGACGGGTGTACTACGCAGTGGGTGAAACCGTAAAGTTGCCTGTTTTTTGGTGCAGACATTTGATTGGGGATGTGGGGTAAGTCCAACACAGCAATCCCAAGATGCTGGTCATTTGATGTCATTATTTGAAGATTTTAAGATATATGCAGATATTGGAGCCCACCATGCAGGTGCTGCTGTAGCCCATCATCAGCAGGTGCTGCTGTAGCCCATCATCATGCCCCGCCGTTTGCTTGTTGAGCAACGATGCCTTTTTTATTTTTTGTTCCAAATGACTGGGGCCAGGGCGGAGGAAACTGACTTTGACTCAACTAGGTCGACGAATTTACTGAAAAAAATATATGAGGATTTGCTCCTGGACCCTCATATGGAGGGGGTCTCGGGATGTCTGGGGACTCAAATCCCCCAAATGTTTGAACGCCGGGCTGTTTGGAACATTTGGCTCTGACAAAAAGCTCTTGAAAATTGGTTTGAGCCCCTGGAATCCGGTTCTCGTTGCTCGCTGGTCAGACCGATGGTCCATGGGCCCATCCGAGAAGCCTCCACGACGAGGTAACAAATATGAATCCTACTAGCGATGGCCTCCACCCTATAGCGATGGCGTGCTGGGTGTATAGAAAAAACGAAAGACATCCCAGTCAGCTCCTGCTTCGGCAAAGAAGGCTGCGTCGGGCAGTGGAAAAGAGGCCGGTCACGGTGTCTTTGAGGAAGCTTGCACCAGCAACGAGTAGCTGGTCTAGCATGACATGGCTTCAAGCATCTTCAAGCCCTACGATACTTCCCAGATCTTCCCAGTATTTCCCAGACATGTCTTCCACAATTTGGGCCAGAAATACAGCGGGTTTTCGTTGGGTAGAACATGTTTGGAACCTTGCCTCGACAGTCATCTCTGTGCTCCAGCTGGAAGACACACCCATTCCATCGCATTCCAAAGATCTGGCGCGTTCTGGCCCAGCCTGGCCCCATGCTAGCCATGGCCTCCATCCTACTAGTGATGGCCTCCACCCTAGTAGCGCTGGCCTCCACCCTCATACTTAGCGATGGCGTGCTGGGTGTGACTCGTGTTTGGCCACTTCCATCTTGTGCCTTTTCCATCCAATCAGCCACCCCACTGATCCCACCTCTCGACCGTCTTCCCTGCCCCAATTCAGTGCACTGACGCCCGGCCTTCCACGCTTTCGTGTGGCCGAGCCCGAAGAAAGCCCTTCCGATCCCACTGGTGAGTCGAAACCTCAGAAAATCCACCCACATCTCGTGTTCAAGAAGCATCGTCGTGTCGGAAGTGCCGCAGCCAATTCGACCAGAAGCCCGCATGGCATGGAAAAAAAGGGCGAGAGTGCGTTCAGACTCTTGACAGAAGAACTGCAAGCAAAACTTGGAACTGAAGAGTGTGCAAAGAAACGCCTGTATATATATATATATATCTATATATAAATACTACATGGATGGTCTGGGTCACACAAAGCACTTCACATTGGTCGGCTCGGTCGCAAAAAGTTTCCCGCGATGCTTGGGCTCTATAGAACTAGCTAGGACCGACACACCGGCGGGCACCCAGGAGATGAGGGCGGATGGCTGGGGGAAGAGAATGCGAAGAGACGGTTGGTTGATGTTGCCTTTTTGCTTGGGCAAGGAAGGGCGGCGGTTGGTTGCACTTGGTGAAAACACAGCGAGATTCCATTGGATTCCATTGGTTTGCAGCGGGCAGTCACTCATCCTGGAACCCTCCGACCATGCAACAACCTCTCCGGCGGTTGCGTGTCTCAAAAAGGTGGATTTTGACACACGGAGATTGATGACCTGACGACGGGCGACCTGTTTTGTTCGAACACCCTCAAGAGCGAACCCTCGGTGCAGTGCCCTGGACGGAAATTCTCTTGAACACCAAGAACCAACCTGATCTCCGATCACCCTTCCCAGGATCAAGCAACAAGGCCCCGTCCGGTATGGCGATGCCTAGCGAGGCGAAACCGGCCGTCCCGTGTGGTGATATGATTGATGGGCTGAAACCATGAAACTCTTCTGATAGATCCTGCAAGACCAAGCATTGCATGATGACTCCTGACGTTGGATCGATAAAATGATGAGAACAATTGCATGCATGATCATGCATATAATTGCATATATAATATATTGGTGGATTCAAGATGAATTTGTTTTCTGACTTTTTTCGAATGCTGATCCTTTTGCTTCATGACCGGTGGTGCCCAGATGGTATGGTGCATACATCGGTCGAGCCGCTCGTGAGGAACCCATCTTAGGCATCCGGGAGCCTGGCATGAAGGCGACCCCGACGAACGGGATCCGCTTCGGTGTCGTCCACACACCGCCGGTGTCGTTGTTTTGGGCCAGTTCGGTTTGACTCCAAGGTATGAAATAAGCATGATGCATTGATGTACAATATAGATCAATAGTTAGATGATAGTATATATATATATGTGTGTGTGGTAAAGCCTGCAAGACCACGATCCCGAATCTAAATGGGTATACATGGGGTTGTCCTATTGCCTGTAATAGTCAGTATTATCATCATTTTGGAACAAGACCGTTACTAACCATCATCATCCGCTGTTACAGGTAATAGGATAGTCCCAAGGTATAATATGCTTTTTATTCGACCCACATTCAGCATTTTGCCGTGAACAAGGAGTTGCTTCGGACTCCGTTTGAAGTTTTTCGGGAGTCTGAAGGCCAAGGGCCAAGGGTCTTTTCATGTGTCAATTCTTCAGCAAGGCAGTCCAACGAGCCAGGCGAAAAAAGCTTCAGAGAGGTTCACAAAAGCTCAGTCCCAGCCTCTGGTAGTAAAACAAGGACGCTACTATAGGAGCAAGTAGGTTGGAGGCCATTGCAAGTAGCTTGGCCATGGCTACGAGGAGACTCGGAAGCTACCGAACGGGGACTCGACTCAATCCCTCACCGAACATGTTCGGAGCGTGGGACTCGGGCCGATCGCACGGACTGAGTCCCAGAGTCGGCGCCGGACACCATGGAGTTCTCACCATCCTTGATCCTGGGGAAATGGGATGAACTCAGACCATGTCACCCGACCAGTCCAGTCCGACAACGAGTTTTGGACCATCCACCTTCAAGTTTAGGATGGGAGAGCCGAACTCCGCCGAGCCCTGCCTTGACCGCCACCGCCATACCCGTACCTTCGTCCGACTCGCAGGACGATTTTGAGGACGATGGCACGATCGGGGCGCTGCCTCACTTTTCGTCCGATGGTCGGGTCCGGGAGCTTGGATAGCGAAGCGATGGGAGGCAGGAAGTGGGTGGGAAGAGGCAAGGAGGTATTTTGGGTTGCATTGGAGGCACTGAAATTGGACCAAAGCTGAAGGGGTATGAAGGGGATAGAAGGGGTAGGGAGGTTGGGGAGCTGTGGAAGGGTAGTTGAGGTGTTGGAATGTGTTGGATCGTTGGATCTGAGTGGAAGTTTCTTGGGAGGTGTCACATGTTCTTTCGAAGGGTCGCCGGCTGAGTCCTCGAGAGTTACTAAGAATTCACACTCAGATATATACAAGATCACTGTGTTCATCGGGGGTAGTGATAGTGGCGATTCTGAAACCGAGCATGTTCGGTGCCTAATGTGTCCTACGTTCTACTGAATGATGGCCATTTGACCTGCAGGAAGAATACCTTGATGAAACGCATGGGTGGGAAGATCAGGCAGAACATGCCCGAACTTTTCATTTCTCTCTGACACACAGAAGAAGCGGCAACATTGCCAGTATCATGTTTGATGTTTGTGTCGAAGCTGTGGGAAACGCCAGGAACCTGCCCCCAAACCGATTTTGCCAATGACACAGAGCCAACCAAACCTCTAGATACAACAGGGAATAAAGAATTCGGAATCATCGAGTGAGTTCATCTTGCTATGGGTCAAACCTCCGAAATGTCATTCTCCAAGCTTCCAAATGTCAAGCTGCCACCGCTTCCAAACGTCAAGCTGCTGTGGCTTCACGCCAAGCTAAAACTTATGTGTCAACATGTGTCAACCTGCCAAAGACATGTCAAGCTTCCACTGTAAAACTGCAAATCAGCTTATCAACGCTTACCCTCCAAGTCAATGACATCGTTAAACTTGTTCATTTTGAATTCGAGATCATGTCATGAACACCTTTATTAGGACCTAGTTTTACTTGGTCCCGTTAAAAACAACAATAGTGTTCATGATCTCTCAGGTGGTTTGGAAGGGAATCAAAGGCAATTTTGAGCGCAATCAGAGGTCTTCTTGAGGCTCATGATTCGACCTTAAGAGCACAAAGGAATGAATTGTGGGCCAATTATTTAGCAGGAGCGTAACAGTTCCGTAACAACCCCCTCCCGGAGACTTCTAACTTCTAAGATTCTAAAACTGCAAATGATCTTCAGAAAACCCTCAATTTTGATAGTATTGTTCGTTTGAATTGAAACCGTTGATGCATTCTTGCAGGACCTATGTGCCATTACCGTGGTGATGTTGCACTTGCTCGGATCAAAGGGCGTGGGTTAAACCTGTTCTTTTTCATAAGGCCATAAGGAATTCGTTGAACTTGCACGTTCTCGGCCCTCGCGTCGGTTCTCTTAAACACCTCGGAAGATCGGACGTCCTGATTCACAGGATCCCTCGTTCAGTCGCCAGGCGGGTGCATTTTCTCCAGTCGTGTGTTGGACAGAGGAATGAAGAATCCAAGCAGGTAGAGAGACTTGGCCAGCCAATTCATGACTTCAAGGAAGGCCAATTCACTTGCCGGGACCTGGCCACCGTTTCACGACTTCAAGGCATTCCATGGGGAGCTGTCCCAATCGAAGTCCCCACAAATTGGCGTACGTCTCAACGCCTCAAAACGCACGTCTCGAAGCCCTTCAGCAAAGCTGGGTATCAGGGTGATTGGAACAAACAAATTCTTTCAACTCACAAGGCGATGGAGTGCCTCTGGGGAACCAAACACCTGCCAGACACTCCAAGTTCCCATAGGAAGGCGCAGATTTCTTAGAAGAGTCTATATATATATATAGACTGTTAAATTATACTATGTATATATATATATACATAATAATGTTAACCTCTCATTAGTAACCCCCCTATGCAAATAAATATATATATATATGTTGTTTTTTTCGGGGCAGTCAAAATCCTGAACCTTAGTAAAAAGAAACCTCCAGGCCATTTGGCAGAGGGGATAGTACTAGTAGTGCTTGCATTCTGCTTTCATTCTGCTTGCATTTGCTTTCATTTTGCTTTCATTTTGCTTTCATTCT